ATCCAGGCCACTCACACTCAGCTTCCCTCTTACGCAAACCACTCCTCACCTCTGTCGGTCTCTCTTTCTTTGCCACAGCTACCTTTACCTGAAACCATGCTACTTCTTGGTTGAGGATGTGTCTCTCTCACGAGGATGTAAGCCCAGGGCCACAGAGTCCTGTGGACACGGCTAGGTGAAGGAGAAATGACCCAGCACTTCCCTGCCTGCCACGTGGTACCTTGTCCCTGTCCCTTTGGTTTCCTTGTTCTGGCTGATTCCTGATTCAGGTCCTTCCTCTGAGATAAAGCTCTCCCTAAACTCTGCCTCACTTAGAGTTTGACTTGGGTCTCAGGGAGGAAGCTCTCCTGAGCACCTGTGCAGGTGTCCCTTCTCTGGGAGGCCACAGTTCCCCAGGTCTGTCTGTAGGTGCACTTGGTTCATGAGGACACAGTTGTCCCCCTGAGCTGCTGGTCCTGGTGAAGCCCTGGACCATAGCAGAAGTGTTCTCTATGTGCCTCAGGCTGAGCAAGCATCCAGTTCAGGAGACTCCCTCCCCCTAGACCACGCTGTCACCCTCTACCCAGCTTGTGGTGACACAGGTGACACCTTCTGTTCCATCGGCCATCACCAGGGCTCTTTATATGTGCTCAACCTGAGGCCTGGATCGGGAGAGGCAGGAGGCCAGGGAGCTCTTGCCGTGGAAAGTGGATCACTCTCCTCCCCATTGGGTTGTCTCTCTCCAGGACCTTCTGGTCATCCCCCGTTGTCTAGCAATTGAGTCTGGTCATCATATCAGGACAGACGCTGTCTTCTACATTGTGTACCCATAGGAGTAGGGCCCTGCCTTGCACATATTAAGCAACCAATAAATGTAGGTTGCTGCATTATGAATTAAATAACAAAGGGCCAGAGAGTTTGCTGTTCGAGTGCATGAACACAACAGATATACCAGGGAAATCTATTCAGCCATTTTCTTGCCATTTTAATTTGTAAGAGTTCCATGTATATTTCTTCCAGCTACATTGGCTTCCCCTTAGATGGAGAAAGGATGAGATCAATCAATCTTGTCATGTTCATTACCATTCTTTAAAAGTACAATGCAAACTCATTTGGGTTTGTTTTTTTTTTTTTTGGTTTTATGTTTATTGTTGTTTTTGTTGTTGTTGTCGTTGGTTGTTGTGCAGTTTTCACAATGGCTCCTAGCTCTGCTTTTCCAACACAGAAGGTTCTGTTTTGCAAAGGCCATGGCCATTTGGGTAGATGCAGGAGTCACGGGCCACCAACATGGTCCCGGACAAGTAATAGCTTTGGAATATATATATATATATATATATATATTTTTTTTTTTTAAATCAGAAATAAGATTCAAGATGATCTTGGCTAGAGATCAGCAAACTTTCTTTCCCCATTTTTGCAATGGAGCAGATAGTAAATATTTTCAGCTTTGTGGACCTTACAATCTCCATCCCCCTAATTACTCAATCCTACTGCTGTGGAGTGTAAACAGCCACAGACAATATGGAAATGAATGATCATGCCTGCATTCCCATGAAATTTTATTTATGGACATTGAAATTTGAATTTCATATAATTTTCACCATGTGTCACAAAATATCATTCTTCCTTTGATTTAAAAAAATATATTTAAAAATGTAAAAAGCATTCTTAGCCCACAGGCAAACAGAAATAGGAGAAGGGCTGGATTTGCTCCGCAGACCCTAGTTTGCAGAGTGCTAGTCTAAGAGCACCCCCAGCCTGGGCTTGCCTTTGAACATTTGGCTACTCAGAGGGAGGTTGAAGAGGAAAATCGCGGGAGTCGCCCTCGGAGGCCACACACATCTGCTGGTCCAGTCTCCAGGTTTCAGCCCAGTTCATGGGGTCTCCTGGAGACCCCGGTTTTCCCACTGCACACAGCTGGGCAGTGAGTAAATAGAAAATAATTTTTTTCTGGATTAACTGATGACAAAAATACCTTGGCAAGCCAGGGCAGGCAATTGCCAGATTGTTGTCTAAGGCAAGCAAGACCCCCAGAGGGTTTGGGCACACACCTTCCGCATCTTGTCAAGAGACCAAATGGAAATTCCTTCATCCCCCAAGGAGGTGAGACCCTGCACCAGAGAGGAGTATGGAGCTCATGCCAGAGCCTGGAGGATCAGATGGGCAGGAGTCTCCCTTCCACGCTGTTCTTTTCTGTTTTTTATTATAGGTGAAGACTTTGAGATCAAGGAGAAAAAACACGAGACTTCAACTACATTACAACTTGCTACCCCGAGTGGTCACCATAAAGAGCATGTCCAGCAAGGTGTGGTCTAGGATACTTCTGTTTCCAAAGGAGCACACTCTAAAAGGTGACAAAAACTCAGTGCCAAAGTAAATGCTATTTTATTGCAATATTTTAAAAGTCAAAATTAATGAAACATTTATAATGAGCAAAATATCAAGATTTTGAGTAAAGAAAAAAACTAATCCTATAAACCCATGCCCCACCTCCCTCACTTGAATTTGCTGATTTTGCAATAGTTTTGAAATTTGAAAACATTGGGTTGTCCAGGAAATGTTGCAAGAATTGGAAACTCACAAAGGGGGGCTTCTATTTCTCTCTCTCTCTCTCTCTCTCTCTCTTTCCTGGTATTGGGATTGAACCCAGGGGTGCTTAACCACTGAGCCACATCCCCAGCCCTTTTCATTTTTAATTTTTTTAAATTTTAATTTGTTCTATATGACAGCAGAATGCATTACAATTCATTAGTACACACATAGAGCACAATTTTTTCATATCTCTGGTTATACACAAAGTAGAGACATACCATTTGTGTCTTCATACATGTACTTAGGGTAAGGATGTCCATCTCCTTTCACCATCTTTCCTATCCACATGTCATTTTTTATTTTAAGACAGGGTCTCACTAAGTTGCTGAGGCTGGCTTTGAACTTGTGATCCTCCTGCCTCAGCCTCCCCAGTCACTCCTCCCCATGATTAAAGGCATATGCTACTGAGCCCAGCTGTGTCTTATCTTTTAAGACACACAAAGTATCCTCACTAGACCCAGCCCCTCAGCATCCAGGGTGGCTCGTGAGGGCTGGTATCTGATTGCTATCATCCCTTTAGCTCTGATCAGCATCGGAGACTTGAAAATGCACTAAGTGTGCCACTTGGCTTCAGTATTACTCAGTTGTTCCTCTAAATTATAAAATGTTTCCTCTTTAATATGTCTCTCTTGAGCACTCAGCACTGACATGTGTCCAGTGCCTTTAAATAATTCCTGATGAGTACGAACCAACCCCACTCTGAGTACAGAGATGACAAGCCATGTACTAAGCTTCAGTACCCCAATGACTATAGTGTTGAGTTCTTCCCAAGACACCATCTAAGGCTGGAATATGGGCACTCATATTCACCAAAGGCAATGTATTCAGCAAAAAGAGAGCCTCGTAGAATATTATAGAATCAATTTTTCCTTCAAATCCCCCAGCACACACACATACAAAATTATACCATCATTTCTTCCCTGCTTGCCAATAGAAAGTCCACTCACTTCTCAAAGTGTCCCACACAAGTGGCTAGGAGTAATTGCAGAAATTGAAATACCTAAGATAATCTTATTCTCCAATTAACTGCATATTTCTAAATAGCTAGTAGAGAGGATTTTGAATGTTCTCAACACCAAGAATGATAAATGTGTGAGGCGGTGGGCATGCCAATTATCCCGATCACATCATTACGCATTACATTCATGTATCAAAATATCACGCTGTACCGCCAAATAGGTACAATTACCATGTGTCAATTAAAATAAGAAATGCATTTCTTTAAAAATGAAAGAAAAAGCTCTTCATTCTGATCTCCCTTCTTTAGTGTCATTAAGCATAAATCTTTGAGGCAGCCTCTCCACCCCTTTCCCTCTGGGTCCCCTCATCAATGTGTCTTGGGTCAAAGGTCTGCCATGATGGACCCCTTCGCCTGACCACAGAAGGCGTCTGAAGTGGCACGCCAGTCTTCTTCCCAGATCAGTCCTTGGCGGCCTGGCATCTCTCTTTGATGTCTGTGAGTCTGAAGGAGATGGAAGAGGACATAGTTGGTTAGTGTTTTAATGTGTGTGGTATTTTCTCCATTTCTAACTTCCTCCTGAGCTGTAATGTGGACTGTTCAAAGACGTCTTTGACAGGACAAATCACTTTATGTTTCACAGATCAGAAGACTGACCTTCGGCTGGGAAAGTGCCTGAAGGTGAGGTTGAGGCCAGTTCAAAGGAATGTCGAGCTGCCCATTCTTGGTCTGACTTCCTTGAGAGTGGGTGCCCTTGGACTCCGGGATGCTCCTGCAGAGATCCAGAATGGCCTTCCAGAACGTTTCTCTTCAGATCCGCTCGATGGTGTCACCTTCTTGGGACGAGATGGCTTCTGGGGTCCTCCCTGAGCTCACCTGACTTATTTATTCAGCATTAAATATTTATTTGGCACCTCCTATTTCCCAAACATACTTTTCTTCCATCAGAGCTGTGGATCTAATGCTGCCCAATGGCAGAAGAGACCCTTTATTCTTCCTGCCACATCAATGCCTCTCAAAGAATATGTCTTTGCAGAAACAATAGATCACTCACATTATCAAGGTCCCAGCAACCAGCGAAATCCTTTCTTCATTCTGATCCCACTGAGCTTTATTAGGGGAACTTACAATTGCTAGAAAGTTCCTTCCTTCCTTATTTCTCTTGCTTTTGTCTCTTTGCTGTACGTTCTGCTCTGCCTGATCCCTTGAGGGGTCGATGTCAGCCCTCAGCTTCCCGGGGCAGATGTCTGGGAGACACGAGGGCTGTTCATTTTGTCTTTTCTTAAAAAAGCCTAAAATTTGCCCCAAATAGCCACTAAATGCCAAGTCTCCCATTGCTCATTCTAATTTCAACATTTTTCTTTATCACATAGATGATCAGAGATTGGGATTTCTTTAAAAAAAAAAAAATGAGGCTGTCTATCTGACTAATCAAGGTGAAGGGCTCATGACAGGAAATGGGCAGGGACTTGTGAGTCCCTGGATGCCGCTCCTGTGAAACTCCACGAAATAGAAAGGGAAGATGGCAAGTGACCTGGCTATCATGCTGTTGTTCCTTAAAACAACTTTAAGAAATTAAACACTCTCCTGGGGCATGTGGCCTAGGGACCCTTGGTGAAGCCATTGGCGAGACTTAATGTAGTCAGCTTCCCCAGGTGACAGCTGAGTGACTGCTGCCTTACTTGTAAGTACAACTCTTGGGCCCTGAGTGTTCTCAGCTCCCAGTCCCCACACCCGTCACCCTCTATGTGGCTAGTGCAGTCACCTTCCTGGACCACAGTGGCACACATGCCCCAAACTCTGAAGCCTTCAGTAGCTTCCTGCTGGGCCCCAAATAGAGTAGGCAGTCATTAGTAAAACATGGGAACTCTCCACCTCCACCGGAGGAGCAGAGGCCAACTCAGATTGGACTTTGGAGCCCAGAAGACTGAAGTCCAAATCTCAGTCCTGCCATTTACTGACTTTTGCTTTGAGACCGAGTCTCAGTTTCCTCATCTCTGTGAGAAATGAGATTGGCCATCTCCCCATGTCAACTCCCAAGGTCATTGGGAAGATGGAAGGAGAAGTCAGCCTGGCAGAAAGAAGTACTCAGCAGCCAACACTGTCACCCCAGTCTCACCTGCACTGCAAACAGTCCTCTCTCTCCTCACTGGGTTCCCGGTGCAGAGTGCTCTGCGTTCCCTCTCCAGCCTTACCCACACACACTCTCGGCTTCTACTAAAACCCTGAGGAAATGATTTTCTACTTAGGTCTATTCTTTCTTGCATCTGAGCTTGAGTCCCATGATGCTTTTTGAGAATCTGAAGTGGCAGGTTTAGCCCTCAGCCCATTCCCATCATATCGTATGGCTTATCCTACTAAACTGCTGACTCCCACAGGGTCGGGATTCTATCCTTTCCATCTGTGTCTCCCCAAGGCACTGATAAAGCCTGTCAGTCATGATAACACAGCATCATCACATCTTTGACTGGGTCATGCTGGGTGAAGAACTGCCCCAAAGCTGGGGAGCGAACTGCCACCAAGGTTGACTTTTGCTTGCAATTATACCCATCGTGAATCGAGAGCAGTGGTCCCTCCTGTGGGTTCTTTGAACGGAGAATACTGGGGCTGGAGGTAGAGTCCTTTTCTGGCACTTGACTTTCTTGATATCAAGGTAGAAAAGGGAACAGGGAACCAGGCAGTGGCTCCCAGTCTTCTGTTGGAAGGAGATGCATATCACTCCCTCTCACCATATTGACCCAAGCCCCTCATGTGGTCAAACAGCACCAATGGGGTGGGGACAGACGTTCTGATGGAATGAGTGAGTGCCTGCACACCCAAGGCAGCAGGCAGGGATAGGTGATCACCCACAAGGAGGGGCAGTGAGCATTTAAACACATGATTGCAGTTTACATAACTGCACATCATTACACACGTGTATATCAGAGGCACCCACGGGATGCTATCAGAATAAAGTGAATTTCCGTGGTTTTAAAAAACCCTCTGAACCCACAGTCTGATGTGGATTAGGATATCACTAAGGATGTTGTTCACTTAATTAGAAAGCACACTCTTTATCAGGAACTACCCGTGTGGCATCTCTGAGTCCTGAGTGTTAGAAGAAAGTGCTCTTCCACTCCCCGCTCCTCCTGGGAGGCGCTCTCCCTTATTTCTTTGGCTGCTAGGAAGCTCCGAGGTTTCCCCGCAGAGAACTATGCAGGAATTTTATGGCAACCCTTTCCAGAATTAACCTCACGCCTGGCATCTTCTCATTTTACTCCTGCCCTTATTTACTCGGATGTAATGTTATCATGTTCCATTTTCCTAAACTATTTTAAAACAAAGATCATAAACAAGTGAACTGATCAAGGACCCATCCTCTGAGACCGTTTGAAGCCGCCTGCCCACCAGCCTCGGACGTATCCCCGCTGAACGCTTTAGCTCTGCCTTGAAGGATAAGTGAAAACACATGCGGAGGACAAATCACTCCTTGTCCTTCCAAATCCACCATGAACCGCCTGATCAAAGGGAAACGAGGAAAGCCACTTCTCAGACAGGGCCCCCGGGGGTCCTGGGTCCAGCCCGTCTCT